AAAACAGTATAATAGGGGACCTTTAAGTATTTTGAAGGAAACATTTTAAATATATGATTAATGTTTAAATTCTCTATTCCCATTTTAGTTTTTTCCACCACTTCTTACACTGAAGTACGGTTATATCTGTAATAGTAAATTACATTTGTACAAAACACCGGATGTAATTACTATTTTCTCATGCTCTTTTGGAGGAACCTCACTGTTATTCTTTACTTTTTCACTATTATATTTAGAATTTTAACGTATTGATAGGCTAATTTATCTTTCCTTCTTTTTAGTTCAACTGCCTCCCTCACGATAAATAACGTGTTTTTTGTATCATATCTTGTTAAAATGTTTAAGCCTCTTTCAGAATAATAAATACCAATGAAAATGTAAAAAGTGAGGGGAATAAATATAAACGTGCAAGTTTAAAGCTCAGAGCAATACAAAAGGATCTTATTTAAATCATGAGGGTAACCGTTTTGTGAATATTTGGGTCTTAGGTGACTAAACACGTGTTTTCCAATACAATATGAATAGTCATTTAAATCTCTGCCAAAAATCAGCTGACCTATTTTGGGTTGCACGTCCAATTACTCCTTATTATGTGCAGATTTATTCTGAAAATCACGTAGCTACTGGTGAGGATAAACCCATTAACTCTGAAAGCACTTTACACTCTTAGAAGTTTTATTAGCTGATATAAAACGAGGCGATGTGATAACAAAAGTATAATTTCTGGGTCAATAGAACAATAGGTCACACAGTTTGCACCGAGAGGCTGTGCATTGAGGGAAAAGAGAGGAGGAATGCAGCCGTAATAAGGATTACTGAAGCACTTGTGACTCCCTAAATTCATCCGGATTTGTCCTTATATCCCCCAAGAACTGTTCAGTGACTTTGTTGCAAGTTTTTTTGTCTCCATATCATATGTGCCAAACTGTGACAACTGTTTAAACAATGTCAGCATTCACAGCAAATCCTGTTTCATCACGAACCCTTTAACTCCCTTCAGGCCTCAACATGTATGTGCAAACTCCAGAATATGAATGAAACACAACGGCTCAATAATGCGATTAATATGTTGCAAAAATTCAACCTGGCTAACGTCTATGAGTCTTGATTTGATTAATATGGCGGATTTATAAAACAAACAGAGGTTAGACAACAACAACAACAGAAATGAATGTGTTGATAAGAAGCTTGGAAGGTTGGTTTTTGAAGTGTTTTTTTGTACCTACACCAGGACTGGCCAACCAGTCAGAGGTAAAGAGCCAATCATTTGACTGTGTTACTGCAAAGAGCCACATCACACATACAAAAGGAAAATCTAAAAATGTACAATAATTGACACACACACACACACACACACACACACACACACACACACACCCTCTCACATACAGAAACACATACCTCTGCTCAGCCAGATTTCCTATACATTTCACAGTCCATGATATTGACAGAAATGGACTTAAACCTCTCCTATTAAGACCAGAGGCCAGTTATTGTCAACCATTAATATATTGTGTCTCACACACAAACTCTCAGTTCAAAACATTTGAAAAAAGTTGACTTTTTTCTCCCTGTCTGTATCCAACACACAGATTCATGACAGTTATTTAAAAATAAATGTAATTAAATGAAGTGTATTTTAGTTAATTCTCCTCACATGACATCTCAACTTGTACCTAACCCTCTGGCTAACATAACAGAAGCTCTGCTGACAGAGATGCATTTTCTCTCTTGTTTGTTTCTTTACCGCGAATCACCAAATTCGTGTGTCAGTTTCCAGATTTGCAGGAGCAGGCCTTCTCACAAACACATATATACAACTACAGATTGTTACCGTTTTGATTTGACAACATTATATTGAGTTATTACGGTTTTATCTGTGTTATATTTCTGCCGATCGGAAGCAGATCTCTCCCTTGTCCCTTCACTGTCACATCGCCAGAGCAGTAAAGCCCGCCTCCAGTACTGCAGGATCTGCATTCTGATTGGCTAAAGCACTTATTTGTTGAAAACTCTGTGTAACGATTGGGCTGGAACTTGTGTATTGTTAACCCTTTGTGAACTGGGATACATGTGCGCAAAATGGTCAAACAGCTTCAACCGTTATGCTGCAAATAACTCTTCAATTGACTTCAATTCATCCTCCCTCTCTCTCTCTTATCCTCCCTCTCTCTCTCCCTCTTGCTGCTCTCCATATATCCATTGTTGTTTTTATAAAGTTCTTACATGAAGCCTTTATCTAGTGCTTACATCCTGATTGCTGAGGAAATATTCGTATAGAGGTGATTACACGGACTCGGTTGACCCCCCAGAGCGTTTCGTTTGCAAATCTATCCACCTTGGGACCCGTTATCGTTTGTGGGGTCAGTTTCTATCGGTCTCGTGTAAATAATAGGGCTATACGCACGCGAAACTATGCAGATACAAGCAGTTTTCTCCTCGTGTAAACGGCGCCTTAGAGAACCGTGTGCAGTGTTTTGCAAAAAGTGCCAAGTTGAACTGCAAACTGGGTGCAGAGCTGAAGAGTTTTGGAGATTTGAGCTGAGGTTTTGCTCTTTGAGTGTGAGTTTAAATTATTATGCTTTATGTGAGATGTGTGTGCAACTGAAAAAAACCCTGGACATTTTCTGATCAAACACATTTTATTAACATCAAAGTTCCTCATTTGTTAGTCGATTTTGGAAACAACAATAACATTTAGTCTGTGAAAATACACGTCATTATAAATGTATCTTCTTTTTTCCAGAACAGTGAGAATAAAATATCTACAATGAAAGAAGCTCTGCTGCTTTCTCTCTTAAGACTCAGGCATTCAAAGAGAAACAACTCAATATAAATGCATCAATGGAAATATTCAACAAATATTTAGAGCAAACTTTACATTTTCATGCAGAGAAATATCAGTTGAGGTTAACAGAAATCCTCCTGAGTAGTGACAGCCTCCATGGCTAAACAGACACAGGAAGGAGCGCCGCCTAAAGAAACTCCAACATCTACAGAACAACTCAGGAGAAGATGTTAAAGCACATCCCATAATGTTTGATTGACAGCTGATCTCTGTGCCGTGAAGACAAGAACAATCAGCTCTCAGCAACAATGATGGACACACAATGAGTTTAAAGGGCCCATGTCATGCTTTTCCGGTTATTACCCGTCCCCTTGTGTGTTATGAAGGTTTTTATGCATGTAAACGGTGTGCAGAGTCAAAACCCTCAAAGTACACCCTGTAGCGAGTAAAACTCTAACACAGAAAATACCTCCCCAAAACGCCTCGTTGGAGATACGTCACTGCCCATTTGAGTCTTCCATTTAGTTCCGGGTACGGCATGATGTCATGCGGTACCCGGAACGAAATGGACCAATCCCGAAGAGCTATGGCCACACCCAGCGGCGATGGCCGCATCCTCTGCCAGCCTAACATTTACTGTTGGAAGCTCTGGTTCAGTTCACAATCGATCCAGTCATGCCAATGCCAAGGACCTGTTTCCTGAAATGTGAGGAGAAATCTGAGCTGTTTGTCCTACCGACGGAAGAACCACGACGAAGTCAGTGGTTGAAATTTCTGTTTAACACTGTTCCTTCAGAGGTTCGAAAAACGTTACTGTGTGCGCGGCATTTCACAGACGAAAGCTTCCAAAACATTGCCCAGTTTGAGGCCGGATATGCACAGCATTTGAAACTGAAGGACGATGCTATTCCTAGTTTGTTTGGACCGTTTGGAGCAGGGGAAGATTCGGGTACACAACCTGTAAGTTTGCATTGTTATTTGTGTATTTATCAAACAAGGTATCTACCACGACTGTTTAAATGTGTAAACATGTGTCGGACTGCTAGCGTTTCCATATATCAACTCTAATATCAGCAGATGGCCTTACATACATGTATCTCATAGCAGGAGAATGTCTGCATTCACACACGAAATACTCATAGACAGTATACTCCGGGTGATTTACCGTACAGTCAGTACATTACAGTTGGCTTTCCTCCGAGCTACGCTGATAGCATGTATAGCTAACGAGGCTAGCTATACATGCTAGCGGGAAACATTGTATTCATGCCTGTTACAATGAATGACCGAACGTAGCAGACTACCCGTATAAGATTGCAATTATAAACACGTTATTGCTAGCCTAATATGAACCACTAGCTTTTGTTCATAGTAGTTTTATTACACTACATTATAGTTGCCATTCCTCCGAGCTAACGTTCATATCGTGTTTGCTATCAAGGTAAACAAGAAAGCTAGGTTAGCATATTAGCTGGCAAGCTTACTGTGTTGATTAGATAGATGGATTAGATAGATCCACACTCCTACCACAACTACTACGAACGAATCTAAAACAACTAAGTTTCTCTAATATTTTGTGATTTGCATTTGATTTCGTCCAGCCAGATCCTGGCGGACAATACATGACGGGACTACCACACTGATGCCTCGTCCTAAAAAGCCCCGGCTGCGATAGGCAAGATGCCGACAACGGGGAGGAATGGATGATATACCGTGTATATATGTATATTTATGTTCATTTTGTACATTTCTAAAAATAAAGTTTGATGGAAATACTTAGTAGGCCTATCCTTTCTTCCCTGAATTATTTGCCATATATATATATCATTCATGTATAGCAAACCATGATTTGATTTCTCATCAAACAGTAGTAGTTTATTACAGGTAAAAATAACTTACTCTTCTATAACAACAGTTGTAGGTACAGTTCGGTTAGTTCGCGTATAAAATATACGGCTGTACCGACGCCATTATAAGACTGATGTTCCAAGGTTGACTAATCAGAACAGAGCAGCCGAGCTGACCAATCGGAGCACACTAGGCTCACAGGGAGGGGGGGGCAAGAGCTCCAACGAGTCGTTTAGTGGAGAGAGTGAATACTGCTGAATACACATACTTTACAGAGATGCTGTATGCGAAACCAATGTGAGTTTGGAAAATTGCACAGTATAAATCTATTTTAGTATACCTCAACAATGTAATTATGATCAGTGGAAATGGCCATGACATGGGCCCTTTAAGAAGTAGAAGAGTTCCTCAAATGACTTCAGGCTATTTCAGTTTACAGAACTCAGCTGTGGTTCCATAATCATAATAAAGCAAAACTCCAGCATGTAGCGGCTGAGTGAATGTGGTCTGGACTCTGTGGAGGAGAGTCATGGTTTCAGAGACGCTGTAGAAGGACAGAATACCTGCTCTGTGATCCAGGTACACTCCTACTCTGGAGGACTGAGGACCTGAGACGGTAGTGATGATATTGTTGTAACGAAATGAATAACTGTTTTTGTCACAATCTAAGGACCAAGATTTGTCATTGAATCCAAATAAACATTCAATCCTACCCCCTGCTCTGCTGATATTCTTGTATGCGACTGCTACATGAACTCCTCCTCTCCGCTCCACCTCCCAGTAACAACGTCCAGTCAGACTCTCTCTACTCAGGACCTGAGGCCGTGCAGTGAATCTGTCTGGGTGACTAGAATAAGACTGTTGTTGTTCCATGTATGTTGCTTTTCTGCTCCCCTCAGATAATACCAGCTGTGTGTATGCTGTGTTTGGATCCAGAGTGATCTCCTGTGAATATTCTAAGAACCCAGCTCTGGTGGTGGGCTCTGCTGCTGACAGTAAAACATCCACTTCAGTCGGTGAGACGTTTGTCCATTCCTCTCTCAGGACGTCCTGTAGTTTGTCTCTGACTGCTGACAGGGCCGCCGTCACGTCCTCAAAGTAGCTCAGAGGACGGATGTTGATGCTGGAGGAGTGTGTAGGTTCACTGAGGGCTGGCAGTGAGGGGTAGCTGTGCAGAAACTGGTTGTGATCCTCTGTGTGAGAGAGCAGCTTGAGCTCAGCGTCTCTCCTCTTCAGCTCAGAGATCTCCTGCTCCAGCTTCTCCTGAAGCTCTCTGACTCGACTCACTTCACTCTTCTGCTGGGATCTGAGCTGCTGCTTCACATCAGAGCTTCTTTCCTCCATGAGACGGATCAGCTCAGTGAACGTCTTCACACTGCCCTTCACTGCTTTATCAGCAGAGCCATTGACGGCCTCCACCTCCTGCTGAAGCAGCTTCACCTCCTTCTCTCTGTCCTGGATTCTCTGCTGGATGTTTTGTCGACTCCCCTCCAGCTCTCTCTGCCTCTCAGTCCTCTCTGCTGCAGCTGACACTGTGTCGTGGCCTTTGTGTTCCTCCACAGAGCAGAGATAACAGATACACTGCTGATCAGTGCGGCAGAACATCTTCATCACCTCGTCGTGACGAGAGCAGATGTTCTCCTGGAGCTTCTTGGAGGGCTCCACCAGCTTGTGTTTTTTAAAGACAGCTGATTCATAATGAGGCTGGAGGTGTTTGTCACAATAAGAGGCCAGACACACGAGGCAGGACTTACAGGCTCTCAGTTTTCTCCCAGTGCAGACATCACAGGCCACATCTTCAGCTCCAGCATAGCAGTGATCAGCAGGAGCAGGTGGGGGTCCGGTCTTCTTCAGCTCCTCCACTAAAGCTGCTATGATGGTGTTTTTCAGCAGGACAGGCCTCGGTGTGAAGCTCTGCCTACACTGAGGGCAGCTGTGGATCTTCTTCTCATCCTCTCCATCCCAGAAACCTTTAATACACTTCATGCAGTAGCTGTGTCCACAGGTAGTCGTCACCGGATCCTTCAGTAGATCCAGACAGATGGGACAAGATAAGATTTCCCGGTCCAGCTGAACTCCTTTCTGCACCATTTCACCTCTCAGTGGCAGCGAGTGTGTGAGTTTCACTTCCTGAGAGCTGAAACTATGAGCTGTGATCTGAACAACGTGTGTCTGGGCGGTGAATTTGCCTATCAGCTCTTGGACTTTACCCGCATGTCGGTTACACCCATCCTCCACAGTGTGGATCTAAAGGGGAAGAACCAGGAAATACAGAGTGGAGCTGGCTGTGTCTGAGAGCAGGAAGAAGAGGGAGGGCTTATCAAACTCTGACTCATTCCAGGAGGAGGAGCAGCGCTGATGTGGCACCCCTGGGATGTGTGACCACATTAATATAATTCTTATTATTATTTAGAGTTAGAATATGCATTTATTTTGTACATCTGTCTATTTTAATTTCATTAACGGGGTTGAGCAATGCATTTAGTAGTATGGCGGAACGTTTGTGTTCCGGGGACCGGTTAGAGGGACGGACTTCCGGTGTTTCCTCAGAAGCAATCTGGACGGAAACCCAATAACCTCATTACAGGTTGGTAAAAGGTGCAAAAATCATACGAACCCCCCCTTAATGTTCGCGTATATGGTGTGACGGCCCACTGAAAGTATGGAGCGTTTGTAGCGCTGTTTACATGTTTAAAAGAGTATGAATGTGTGTGCGTATTAGCTTAGCTTCCCCCGTGCGGCGCCATCTTGGGGATAACGTGGTCTGACCATAGACTGTATATATAGGGTCTGACACGGAGATGGTGCGAGTGAGATAGTAGGCTTGTTTGAGACAAGCGAGACCTGCGCAGACCTGCGCAATTGCGATCAACGTCTTGCTAGTGCGTTGCATGATGGTTAGTCATTTTGTCCGACTTGGGTTGCATTCGAATAGTCCATTTAGCTTAGGAACCTTCCTAACGGAGTGAAATGACCCGGAAGTCCCTCAGTGGCAGCCATGATAAGTGCCGTTCGAATTCTCTAAATTAAAAGGAAAGGAGGTTTCAAACTTCCTTTATAACCTCCTTTAGCTTAGGAACCACTGGACCTCCCTAACCGAAAGGAGAGGAGAAAATGCTGCCCCACAATGCCTTGCGGCCGCGGCATTTGCCGTCACACAACAGTCGGCCGTTCACGGAAACAACCGATTATGAACGAGAAATGATATCGGTATAAAGTTACGGTGCTTATTAAGCAATTTAAAACGTATGTGGTAAGTTGCCAAAGTGCTTTGTTTTGAACGTTCATCAGTATTATAATCAAAAAGAGAAATATGAACGTTAGTTTTTACTGAAATGATCAAATAAAGTCAACATTTCACAGTCTTTACTGAGCTGTGTGGGGTTTGTTCAACTTTTAAAAGATGTTTGAATGGTGATATACACAGTGATAGATGTTAAGGACTAACGTTTATAATAAATACATTTGTATTGATTTTAAGATCTTTTCATACAATCATACGTATTGGGATCATTTGTATTAATGTGGACCGGAGGGAGAGGGTGACGAGCATAAGTTTCACTTTCCTTTTTTATTTCAATTCCAACTTTGGTCATGAAGAATATGTTTCTCTGTTGTCCCTGTTCATAAAGCATAAAACAACAGCATCAGAGCACGGTGCAGAGTCTCTAGATGAGTTTACAGTAGTCCCTCGTTCTTATTAAACATCCATGTTGTAGTCCGCTGTATAGAAAACTGTAGTTTCCATAGTTTCCCCACAGCAGCAGGCGCACATTTATGACCTCCGCTGGCGCATCATAAACACGTCGGATAGTGAAAGTGCAGTCGGATTCTCTAAAGTGCCGCAGTCTCTTCTCCTAAATCCTTTTGAATTCTCCTATCTACTATCCCTTAACCCCATGACGTTTCACTCCGAGGTCAAGGAATAGACGATAGGGTTAGAATTTAGGAGCTGTTTTTTTGGAGTATTCGAACGCAACCCTGCTCAGGAGGCTCGCCTACATGAGACGTTGAAATCTCGCGGGACAAAGACGCCCGCAGACTTGAGAGCGAGGCGCGGCGAGGCGGCGCAGTTTCTCTCCACGGGCTGCGGAAGCGAAATGCTTGATGGGAAACGACTTGCTGGTATCTCGAGCTGAGCGCTCATTGGTGGTTTTTACCCCGTGCTGGTGATGAAACTCTCCATTGGCTCGGCAAAAGTGTGTTGTTGTTTTGTGTCAGTTTTACGTCGCCACTTCCATTCACATTTTTCATCATTGTTCCACAATGTTTATCATCATTAAATTAATATCTATATATTTGTATACTATACTTGCACTGCTTACCGTTGTCATACTTTATATACCTTAGCATATTCATACAACACACTGTTAATACTAGGCTAGGCTACTGTGTATATAGTGTATTCATACCCCTCACTGTTTATTCATCATTCAATTCATTCTATATTTTATTCTGTAGATTGTGTACATTACTTTTCACTTTACTGCTTTATGCACTCCTGGTTAGAAGCTAAACTGCATTTCGTTGTCTCAGTACCTGTAATCTGTGCAATAACAATAAAGTTGAATCTAATCTTGAGCAGGAACAAATGTATTTACTTAGTACATATCTGACATTAACGATTATACACATTTGTCCATTCTTTATCAATCAATGTTTATTTATATAGCCCAATATCACAAATGTTACATTTGTCTCAGTGGACTTCACAGTTTGTACAGAATATCAGTATGACAATACGACACCCTCTGTCCTTACGTTTCACATCATACAAGGAAAAACATCCAGAGAAAAACCCACAGTTTAAAGGGGAAATGGGAGAAACCTCAGGGAGAGCAACAGAGGAGGGATCCCTCTCCCAGGACGGACAGACGTGCAATAGATGCCGTGTGCATTTATAAATGCAAACCGAGTCAAGCCGACTCCGGAGGTGGCGGTATGCACCTTAAAGTTGTTTGAAATCCGCCAAAAAACCGAGAGAAGAAGAAGAAGAAGAAGAAGAAGCCGACTCCGAGCTGTCCGACTTCAGGCGAGTTTTTTGAGACCTCCCCCGGCTGCGATCGGCTATTCTCGTCTACTTTCGAGGCGAGCCGCAGCTCGTCTCAAACAAGCCTAGGTTGCGTTCGAATACTCCAAAAAAACAGCTCCTAAGTTCTAACCCTATCGTCTATTCCTTGACCTCGGAGTGAAACGTCATGGGGTTAAGGGATAGTGGATAGGAGAATTCAAAAGGATTTAGGAGAAGAGACTGCGGCACTTTAGAGAATCCGACTGCACTTTCACTATCCGACGTGTTTATGATGCGCCAGCAGAGGTCATAAATGTGCGCCTGCTGCTGTGGGGAAACTATGGAAACTACAGTTTTCTATACAGCGGACTACAACATGGATGTTTAATAAGAACGAGGGACTACTGTAAACTCATCTAGAGACTCTGCACCGTGCTCTGATGCTGTTGTTTTATGCTTTATGAACGGGGACAACAGAGAAACATATTCTTCATGACCAAAGTTGGAATTGAAATAAAAAAGGAAAGTGAAACTTATGCTCGTCACCCTCTCCCTCCGGTCCACATTAATACAAATGATCCCAATACGTATGATTGTATGAAAAGATCTTAAAATCAATACAAATGTATTTATTATAACGGTTAGTCCTTAACATCTATCACTGTGTATATCACCATTCAAACATCTTTTAAAAGTTGAACAAACCCCACACAGCTCAGTAAAGACTGTGAAATGTTGACTTTATTTGATCATTTCAGTAAAAACTAACGTTCATATTTCTCTTTTTGATTATAATACTGATGAACGTTCAAAACAAAGCACTTTGGCAACTTACCACATACGCTTTAAAATGCTTAATAAGCACCGTAACTTTCATGATATCATTTCTCGTTCATAATCGGTTGTTTCCGTGAACGGCCGACTGTTGTGTGACAGCAAATGCTGCGGCCGCAAGGCATTGTGGGGCAGCATTTTCTCCTCTCCTTTCGGTTAGGGAGGTCCAGTGGTTCCTAAGCTAAAGGAGGTTATAAAGGAAGTTTGAAACCTCCTTTCCTTTTAATTTAGAGAATTCGAACGGCACTTATCATGGCTGCCACTGAGGGACTTCCGGGTCATTTCACTCCGTTAGGAAGGTTCCTAAGCTAAATGGACTATTCGAATGCAACCCCTGTGTGTCTGAAGGCTCCCGCCCACTAAATATTTCCATACATGTGTAGTTATGAATGACGTTATGAATACATATGCACCTTATGAAAGGTATAGTTTAGTTAGTGTTATACTGGATGTTTGTTACACAGCTGTAGTGTTTGTAGCATTATGATTCTCTAGTTTAAATGCATTTTAGTGACCTGCAATGAATGGCAGAAGGGTAATAGTCGAATTTACAGTTTCAAGGGATATTTAATACAGGTTTAATACTGTAAAACAAGATGTATGAAAGAAAGGGACAACAGATTAGTGAATGTAAAGTTCAGTTTAAATGTGTGTTTGTCACAGAAGGGGTTATTGACAGGATGTGTGTTGATGGAGCTTTCAGAAAAGTGAACGATTAAGTAAATACACTGAAATGCATAAGAGAATTAAGATGTTTAAATAAGTTTGTGAAATAAAACTACCAGTAGAAGCTATCTGGAAGGAAACCCAATAACCCGTGTCCTCATTGCTCCTGTCTCACCTGCTCATTATCATAACCAACTACACACTGTGATGCTTTATCTAAAGCACACTCATCTTTTATGGTGATCTGTATGTAGAGAATTCTGCATATAAAGATTGTTCAAGTCTACAGAGATATGTGCAGAAACACAAATATACAGTTGTTATACTTTTATCTTTCTCCCAAACAAATTGGTGCAACATTCCTGCACAACACAAAGTTACAGTTGTGTAAACACAAATGATGCCTGTGTCAAATACAGTAAAGTGAAAGGAACACTTTGAGGAAAAAGAAATACAAATAATCTTTTTAGAAAAAACAGTGGAGAGAAAAATACTTAGTCTGCATTTCACCACCTCACTGGGTCTGACCACAGCTCCTTTATCAAGATGCAGAAGAAGCATCACCTGTAGCCTGAAGGTCAAACAGCTTCAACCGTTATGCTGCAAATAACTCTTCATCTGACTTCAGTTCATCCTCCCTCTCTCTCTTATCCTCCCTCTCTCTCTTATCCTCCCTCTACCTCTTCCTCTTGCTGCTCTCCATATATCCATTGTTGTTTTTATAAAGTTCTTACATGAAGCCTTTTTCTAGTGCTTACATCCTGATTGCTGAGTCAACAATAAAGCAGTTTGGTGTTTATGGTCATTTGGCATGTGTATTTGTTGATTGGTTCATGTATGTAGCATTTCTAATGGCAGTGTTTTGAAAATGGCAAACAAGTGAATATTTATGTGTCTTACTTAGAGAACCGTGTGCAGTGTTTTGCACAAAGTGCCAAGTTGAACTGCAAACTGGGTGCAGAGCTGAAAGTGTGTTTAGAGTGTTGGAGATTTGAGCTGAGGTTTTGCTCTTTGAGTGTGAGTTTAAATAATTATGCTTTATGTGAGATGTGTGTGTGTTAGCAACTTAAAAAAAACTGTAACCGGACATTTTCTGATCAAACACATTTTATTAACATCAAAGTTCCTCATTTGTTAGTCGACTTTGGAAACAACAATAACATTTAGTCTGTGAAAATACACGTCATTATAAATGTATTTTCTTTTTTCCAGAGCAGGGAGAATAAAATATCTACAATGAAAGAAGCTCTGCTGCTTTCTCTCTTAAGACTCAGGCATTCAAAGAGAAATAACTCAATATAAATGCATCAATGGAAATATTCAACAGATATTTAGAGCAAACTTTACATTTTCATGCAGAGAAATATCAGTTGAGGTTAACAGAAATCCTCCTGAGCAGTGACAGCCTCCATGGCTACACAGACACAGGAAGGAGCGCCGCCTGAAGAAACTCCAACATCTACAGAACAACTCATGAGAAGATGTTAAAGCACATCCCATAATGTTTGATTGACAGCTGATCTCTGTGCAGTGAAGACATGAACAATCAGCTCTCAGCAACAATGATGGACACACAATGAGTTTAAGAAGTAGAAGAGCTCCTCAAATGACTTCAGGCTATTTCAGTTTACAAAACTCAGCTGTGGCTCCATTACCATAAAGCCGAACTCCAGCATGTAGCGGCTGAGTGAATGTGGTCTGGACTCTGTGGAGGAGAGTCATGGTTAAAGAGACGCTGTAGAAGGACAGAATACCTGCTCTGTGATCCAGGTACACTCCTACTCTGGAGGACCGAGGACCTGAGACGGGAGTGGGGATACTGTTGTAACGAAATGAATAACTGTTTTGGTCACAATCTAAGGACCAAGATTTGTCATTGTATCCAAATAAACATTCACCCCCCCTCCCTGCTCTGATGATATTCTTGTATGCGACTGCTACACGAACTGCACCTCTCCACTCCACCTCCCAGTAACACCGTCCAGTCAGACTCTCTCTACTCAGGACCTGATAATATGTAGTGAATCTGTCTGGGTGACTAGAATAACACTGTTGTTGTTTGATGAATGTTGCTTTTCTGCTCCCCTCAGATAATACCAGCTTTGTGTATGCTGTGTTTGGATCCAGAGTGATCTCCTGTGAATATTGTAAGAACCCAGCTCTGGTGGTGGGCTCTGCTGCTGACAGTAAAACATCCACTTCAGTCTGTGAGACGTTTGTCCATTCCTCTCTCAGGACGTCCTGTAGTTTGTCTCTGACTGCTGACAGGGCTGCCGTCACGTCCTCAAAGTAGCTCAGAGGACGGATGTTGATGCTGGATGAGTACGTAGGTTCACTGAGGGCTGACAGTGAGGGGTCGCTGTGCAGAAACTGGTTGTGATCCTCTGTGTGAGAGAGCAGCTTGAGCTCAGCGTCTCTCCTCTTCAGATCAGAGATCTCCTGCTCCAGCTTCTCCTGAAGCTCTCTGACTCGACTCACTTCACTCTTCTGCTGGGATCTGACCTGCTGCTTCAAATCAGAGCTTCTTTCCTCCATGAGACGGATCAGCTCAGTGAACATCTTCTCACTGTCCTCCACTGCTTTATCAGCAGAGCCATTGACGGCCTCCACCTCCTGCTGAAGCAGCTTCACCTCCTTCTCTCTGTCCTGGATTCTCTGCTGGATGTTTTGTCGACTCCCCTCCAGCTCTCTCTGCCTCTCAGTCCTCTCTGCTGCAGCTGACACTGTGTCGTGGCCTTTGTGTTCGTCCACAGAGCAGAGATAACAGATACACTGCTGATCAGTGCGGCAGAACATCTTCATCACCTCGTCGTGACGAGAGCAGATGTTCTCCTGGAGCTTCTTGGAGGGCTCCACCAGCTTGTGTTTTTTAAAGACAGGTAATTCATAATGAGGCTGGAGGTGTTTGTCACAATAAGAGGCCAGACACACGAGGCAGGACTTACAGGCTCTCAGTTTTCTCCCAGTGCAGACATCACAGGCCACATCTTCAGCTCCAGCATAGCAGAGATCAGCAGGAGCAGGTGGGGATCCAGTCTTCTTCAGCTCCTCCACTAAAGCTGCTATGATGGTGTTTTTCAGCAGGACAGGCCTCGGTGTGAAGCTCTGCCTACACTGAGGGCAGCTGTGGATCTTCTTCTCATCCTCTCCATCCCAGAAGCCTTTAATACACTTCATGCAGTAGCTGTGTCCACAGGTAGTCGTCACCGGATCCTTCAGTAGATCCAGACAGATCGGACAAGATAAGATTTCCCGGTCCAGCTGAACTCCTTTCTGCGCCATTTCACCTCTCAGTGAGAGTGAGTGTGTGAGTTTCACTTCCTGAGAGCTGAAACTATGAGCTGCGATCTGAACAACATGTGTGTGGGCGGTGAATTTGGCCTATCAGCTCTTGTACTTTACCCGTATGTTGGTTACACCCATCCTCCTCAGTGTAGATCTAAAGGGGAGGAACCAGGAAATACAGAGTGGAGCTGGCTGTGTCTGAGAGCAGGAAGAAGAGAGAGGGCTTATCAAACTCTGACTCATTCCAGGAGGAGGAGCAGACACTCTGAACTGTTTGCTCATTTACAAACGGAGCCTCGCTTACAACCTGCTCTACATTTGAAAACAGTCTTCAGCTGAAAGATATTTCCTGTCCCCTCAGACTGTTGTAGCAGACAGCTTTGAACTAGTAAAGTAAGTACGTTACAGTTTCAGTTGCTAACACACATACATCTCACATGAAGCATAATTATTTAAACTCACACTCAAAGAGCAAAACTTCAGCTCAAATCTCCAACACTCTAAACACACTTTCAGCTCTGCACCCAGTTTGCAGTTCAACTTGGCACTTTGTGCAAAACACTGCACACGGTTCTCTAAGTAAGACACAGAAATCTGACATATTCACTTGTTTGCCATTTTCAAAACACTGCCATTAAAAATGCTACACACATGAACCAAGCAACAAATACACATGCCACATGACCGTAAACACCAAAGTGCTTTATTGTTGACTCAGCAATCAGGATGTAAGCACTAGAAAAAGGCTTCATGTGAGAACATTATAAAAACAACAATGGATATATGGACAGCAGCAAGAGGGAGAGAGAGATGGAGGATAAGAGAGAGAGGGAGGATAAGAGAGAGAGAGGGAGCGTAAGAGAGGGAGAGGGAGGATGAACTGAAGTCAGTTGAAGAGTTTATTTGCAGCATAACGGTAAAAGCTGTCTTTTTCATTTACTGTATCCGATAGAGAGTATACTTTTGGTTCACACAACTGCAACTGTGTTTGCTGTGCATACATTTTGTTGTGGAGAGAAATACAAATGTTTTGTTTCAACAGAATATTGGTGTTTCTGCACATTTCTGTGATGACATAGATGTGAGTGCTATCCAGGAATGGATACGACACTCAAGACGCTTCTTCCCTCGATGTTTAGCCAGGTAGGATATAGCTTGTGATGTGGAGGAGGTGCTGTGGCCAGACCCAGCTAGGCGGCGAGATGCACCCTAAGACCTTTTCTCTCCTCTGTTTTTTTGTTTACAGAAAAATTTAAAAGATTTTCATTTACATTTACTGTGTTTGAGGCATCGTCTTTGTTTACACAACTGTTACTATTTGTTCTGCATGAATGTTGCACCAATTCTTTTTGGAGAAAGATAAAATTATAACAACTGTATATTTTTGTCTCTGCACATATCTTTGTTGACTTGAACAATCTTTATATGCAGAATTCTCTACATAGAGGGAAAAGATGAGTGTGCTTTAGATAAAGCATCACAGTGTGTAGTTGGTTGGACAACGTTTTTTAAATTATTTTATTCTACTAAATTCATACAAAAAAAAGAATTATAATTCATACACACAAAGATGAACAAAACTAGTAGAAGCGGGTTGGCTGAAGCATAGCTTATGGGAAGTAGCCCTCCCGTGAATCATCCTAATATAACATATAACATTGGCATTATTGCGTCAAAAACGTATAGAAATGAAGGAGTACAAAGAAATAAAGAAAACGAAAGAAAACTGGAGAAAAAAATGAAATAAATTAATAAAAGTTAGGGCAAGAAAAGAATAAATGCACATATATATAAATAACAAAAACTAGATATAGGGTCATTTTCTGCACATAGCAGTTTCTACTACCAGTTTTGAAAATAAAAATGCATAAATATATACATATGTACATATGTACTTGGCAAACGAATAATGATAATAATAATATATGCATATAAACATTATGAACACTTGTTTTCAGGTGACTTTTTTTACAAACAAAGAGTCTTGTACTTTAAGTGAAGTGTGTGCCATTTGGTACAAAAGTTTGGTTTTGGTAAGTGTTTATGTAGTTTTGGGTGCAGTGCTTCATTTTGCAAGATATATGAGATGTTTGCACTTTGGGTGTGTGGTTTTGAGAATTGTGTTTTGAGAAAATGAGCCCTGTTGTCAAAAACTGTGTTTTAGCAATTGAAAAAACCTGTAATGAAGTCAAACCACCAGGTTAGGAGATGTGTGAACTTGACTTTATAACAGGGACGTTATTTATTATTGCATTGCAGTCTGCTTTCAAGTTACAGTTTTTTTCACTTGCTGAAACACAGTTTTTGACAACAGGGCTCATTTTCTCAAAACACTAAACACAATTCTCAAAACCACACACCCAAAGTGCAAACATCTCATATATCTTGCAAAATGAAGCACTGCACCCAAAACTACATCAACACTTACCAAAACCAAACTTTTGCACCAAATGGCACACACTTCACTTAAAGTACAAGACTCTTTGTCCAACCAACTACACACTGTGATGCTTTATCTAAAGCACACTTATCTTTTATGGTGATCTGTATGTAGAGAATTCTGCATATTAAGATTGTTCAAGTCTACAGAGATATGTGCAGAAACACAAATATATTATTGTTATACTTTTATCTTTCTCCCAAACTAATTGGTGCAACATTCCTGCACAACACATATTTACAGTTGTGTAAACACCAATGATGCCTTTGTCAAATACAGTAAGTGGAAAGGAAAAGTTTGAGGAAAAAGAAATACAAATAATCTTTTTAGAAAAAACAGAGGAGAGAAAAATACTTAGTCTGCATTTGACCACCTCACTGGGTCTGACCTCAGCTCCTTTATCAAGATGCAGAAGAATCATCACCTGTAGCCTGAAGGTCAAACAGCTTCAACCGTTATGCTGCAAATAACTCTTCATCTGACTTCAGTTCATCCTCCCTCTCTCTCTCTTATCCTCCCTCTACCTCTTATCCTCCCTCCACCTCTTCCTCTTGCTGCTCTCCATATATCCATTGTTGTTTTTATAAAGTTCTTACATGAAGCCTTTTTCTAGTGCTTACATCCTGATTGCTGAGTCAACAATAAAGCAGTTTGGTGTTTACGGTCATGTGGCATGTGTATTTGTTGCTTGGTTCATGTGTGTAGCATTTTTAATGGCAATGTTTTGAAAATGGCAAACAAGTGAATATTTATGTGTCTTACTTAGAGAACCGTGAGCAGTGTTTTGCACAAAGTGCCAAGTTGAACTGCAAACTGGGTGCAGAGCTGAAAGTGTGTTTAGAGTGTTGGAGATTTGAGCTGAGGTTTTGCTCTTTGAGTGTGAGTTTAAATAATTATGCTTTTTGTGAGATGTGTGTGTTTGCAACGGAAAAAAACTGTAACCGGACATTTTCTGATAAAACACATTTTATTAACATCAAAGTTCCTCATTTGTTAGTCGATTTTGGAAACAACAATAACATTTAGTCTGTGAAAATACACCTCATTATAAATGTATTTTCTTTTTTCCAGAGCAGGGAGAATAAAATATCTACAATGAAAGAAGCTCTGCTGCTTTCTCTCTTAAGACTCAGGCATTAAAAGAGAAATAACTCAATATAAATGCATCAATGGAAATATTCAACAAATATTTAGAGCAAACTTTACATTTTCATGCAGAGAAATATCAGTTGAGGTTAACAGAAATCCTCCTGAGCAGTGACAGCCTCCATGGCTACACAGACACAGGAAGGAGCGCCGCCTGAAGAAACTCCAACATCTACAGAACAACTCATGAGAAGATGGTAAAGCACATCCCATGATGTTTGATTGACAGCTGATCTCTGTGCAGTGAAGACATGAACAATCAGCTCTCAGCAACAATGATGGACACACAATGAGTTTAAGAAGTAGAAGAGTTCCTCAAATGACTTCAGGCTATTTCAGTTTACAGAACTCAGCTGTGTTTCCAACATAACAAAGCAAAACTCCAGCATGTAGCGGCTGAGTGAATGTGGTCTGGACTCTGTGGAGGAGAGTCATGGTTTCAGAGACGCTGTAGAAGGACAGAATACCTGCTCTGTGATCCAGGTACACTCCTACTCTGGAGGACAGAGGACCTGAGACGGGAGTGTGGATACTGTTGTAACGAAATGTATAACGGTTTAGGTTACACTCTAAGGACCAAGATTTGTCATTGTATCCAAATAAACATTCATCCCCTGCTCTGCTGATATTCTTGTATGTGACTGCTACACGAACTTCTCCCCCTCTCCACTCCACCTCCCAGTAACAACGTCCAGTCAGACTCTCTCTACTCAGGACCTGAGGCCGTGCAGTGAATCTGTCTGGGTGACTAGAATAAGACTGTTGTTGTTTCATGCGTGTTGCTTTTCTGCTCCCCTCAGATAATACCAGCTGTGTGTGTGCTGTGTTTGGATCCAGTGTGATTTCCTGTGAATATTCTAAGAACCCAGCTCTGGTGGTGGGCTCTGCTGCTGATAGTAAAACATCCACTTCAGTCGGTGAGACGTTTGTCCATTCCTCTCTCAGGACGTCCTGTAGTTTGTCTCTGACTGCTGACAGGGCCGCCGTCACGTCCTCAAAGTAGCTCAGAGGACGGATGTTGATGCTGGATGAGTGTGTAGGTTCACTGAGGGCTGACAGTGAGGGGTAGCTGTGCAGAAACTGGTTGTGATCCTCTGTGTGAGACAGCAGCTTGAGCTCAGCGTCTCTCCTCTTCAGCTCAGCCATCTCCTGCTCCAGCTTCTCCTGAAGCTCTCTGACTCGACTCACTTCACTCTTCTGCTGGGATCTGAGCTGCTGCTTCACATCAGAGCTTCTTTTCTCCATGAGACGGATCAGCTCAGTGAACATCTTCTCACTGCCCTCCACTGCTTTATCAGCAGAGCCATTGACGGCCTCCACCTCCTGCTGAAGCAGCTTCACCTCCTTCTCTCCGTCCTGGATTCTCTGCTGGATGTTTAGTCGACTCCCCTCCAGCTCTCTCTGCCTCTCAGTCCTCTCTGCTGCAGCCGACACTGTGTCGTGGCCTTTGTGTTCGTCCACAGAGCAGAGATAACAGATACACTGCTGATCAGTGCGGCAGAACATCTTCATCACCTCGTCGTGACGAGAGCAGATGTTCTCCTGGAGCTTCTTGGAGGGCTCCACCAGCTTGTGTTTTTTAAAGACAGGTAATTGATAATGAGGCTGGAGGTGTTTG